CCGCCGCCGCCGGTCCCGGGCTCCGCTCCCACAGCTGCGCACCCTGCAGACGAAGCAGTCCGGGTGCCAGAGCGCGCTGAGCGCCGAGATGTAGTTATCCAAAATGGGGCCTTGGCAGCCCTGGCAGCGCGGGGCAAACAGCTGCAGGAAGTCCCGGCGACAGTAGGGGCGGCCCTCACGCTCGTGGAAACCTAGGGGCGGGAACCGAGTGGGCGGGACTGGGGACCCTACGGGATCTGACCCTGGCGCGGAGGGGTCGTGAGAGCGAACAGCAGCAAGGAGGGACTGGGGCCCGGGACAGGACAGAGGGCAGGGCAGGGGATAGAACCTAGGGTGAGAGACAGGAACCAGAAGAGAACAGAGGAGGCCGGAGGGAGGGGCGGGGTGTCCAGTAGACTTGGGGCTTAAGGCGGGGGCTGAGCGCTTACCTTCTTCTCCAAAGGGCTCCCCGCAGCTGACGCAGCAGAAGTGCTCTGGGTGCCAGTGAGTGCCCAGGGCCGTAACCATCTTCTGCAAGGAAGGGAAAGAGACACTCAGTGTGGCCCTCTGTCCCTTCTTCCCTCCTGCTCCGGCTGGAGCCTGGGTGACAGGGCTGAAACATGAGTCTAAGGAGGGAATTTCAGAGTCACAGAGGGAGAGCTGAAAACAGGGTTACGGGGTGGGAATAAGTTGGGTGGGGATGGGGGAACCTGGGAGGCCCTTCCGGCCAGGGTGAGGGATGAGTGGGGCCGTGGGGACTTACATGTCGAATGGGTTGGTTACAGAAACCACAGCGTGGAGAGAAGCGCTCAAAGTAGCACTTCGGGCAAAAGGGGGCTCCATCCTTCTCAAAGAAACTGCTGCCTCCCAGGGTTGTGGAGCAGCCACCGTAAACAAAGTGCTCAGGGTGCCAGGCACGGCCCAGAGCAGTCACCACCTGCATGTTGAGGGCTGGGTCTGAGTGGCTCTGGTTGTGCCACACGCCCAGTGGACTGAGGTTCACAAGGCACTTCACAAGTCTT